ATGTTAAAATCGTTTTTGAAAGGTTTTGACAAATGTATGCTTACATATAAGTAGATTACGATAAGGATACATACCATTGTATCCTTGCAACTAAATGTATCTCATTTGGTAACCCTGTTACATTTAGTTCCCGGGTCAGTACTGTGTTGTGTACATGAAACTATAATGTTTCTGTACATAACCAAGGACTGTATTTCAGTACAAATCTGAGGTACTTGTACTTTACTTGATTATCAAATTTTCATGCCACTTTATGCTTCTGCGCCACAACATTTAACTACAACTTAAACGTCATCAGATCTTGTCTCTTTGTGTCTTTCGTGTCCCAGTAATTCGAAGGTGTTTGTTGCATGCACAGTGTAAACTGGCGCAAGCATGGCTTTTCACAGTTCATATTTTTACCTTATGATCTCATTTAGAGACCTCTACTGTGTGCACTTGACAGAAGACAGGAAACCGAGGAGCTGATGTTGGGGTCCATGTGATGAGTGCATGCTTATGGGCCAAGGTAGCTTTTCAAATTTCAAACAACATTTATTTTAATCTGGACCTCCTCCTGTTGCATGCACAATCCTTTTTGTTAAATTAATAGTGCCTCGTGCCATTATGTTGGCAGCTAAGTCACTGTAAAAATCTGATAAAAATAGACAGGATGAACCTAAAAAGAAATAGACAAAGATATAAGAAGAGCTCAATGAGAGTCCTAAACCCGAAGTCAGTAGCTTTTAAAATATGATTGCATTTTCAGTAAGATTTAGATTTTCAGTTTTCATCTTTGTTGTAATGCAGGCTACATTTAGGACACTAGGTGATGCTAAATACATACATCAGAACATCACACTTACTCAGTAATGGTCTCACATTATACTGTAGTACTGTTGTTGTGGAATTTCTACAGACTAACCACAGTAAACACGTATCTACCCCTCATCTGCATATTATTCATATCGACCTCTACTTCTGCATGTACAGGGGCTGTTATTCTCTCACTGGTCTCATGTCCTACTGCTGCATAAAATAGGCTGATTAAAGATGAAGTGTGAATTTTGTCACCATTTGTGATTATGATCCTTACATTAAATATAATGCCCCGTATATGGGGCGACAGAGCTTTCTCCATTGCAGCCCCCTCCCTGTGGAACTCCTTACCCATACGCATCTGGGATTGCAGCGACATGGACTCTTTCAAATCACTTATCAAAACCCACCTTTTTAGACTGGCTTTTAACATCAAATAATGTTATATTACACCTGCTGCTGTTTGTTATTTTGTTATTTATATGGTTGCCCCTTTGCTCTTATGTTTTTCCGCAGCACATGTTTTTATCTACTTCATATATTTTATATTATGCTATTTATGTTTTTAATCTGTTTTAAATGTGCATAACTTCTGATTTTACTGTAAAGTGTCTTTGAGTGTCCTGAAAAGCACTATAGAAATAAAATGTATAATTATAATTTTTATTATTGTTGTTGTTGTTATTATTATTATTATTATATAATTGGTGCAACAGTGATCTAATAAATTGTTTGTGTGATTTAATAACCAGGAAAGGGAAACCAGAAAAGTTCTGTTTACTGCAAGAATATTCCTCTTGTTTTCATATCTGAAGTAAAAGTAGCAGGACAAACTATTTGGGAGTCAGCAAAAAAGAGAAATCCCAAATGATGGAGTCATAAAGCTTGTGGGGAAAATCCACCCTGTGAATGGAAATACATATGAAATTGACATTTTTACCACAGTGATCTTACACAGGCTGCGTCTTAAGGTTGATTCACAGAGAGTCTGTCCTAAAGCTGGGAACTAGTGACATATAATAAAAGTGTAAATACTTTTCTGGAGTTTACAAAGGAACTCAATTTAGTGACAGTTTATTTAGAGAATATGTGGAGAATAACAGTGGTAATCATTACATACAAAATTAACCTTCAAGACATTTTCATGGACCACATCAAGGTAACGTACTAGGTTACACATGGTCAAAGAAATAAATATAATCTGATCTGCTTGAAAAGATTGTGTTGCAAAGAAACCATCAAAAGACCATAACCCGCTCATGGGCCTACATTTCTATGACCAATATATACTATTTTTGCAAACCCATCTCCTTCTCAGTGATGCTTATAATCAAGCCAGGCCAGGCTTCCCTCAGTGTCTCATATGAGCTGTGAAGCGAGACAGCGTATTATACACAGTTCCCCTTAACTCCTTTCAGTTTGAGATGGGGATGAAAGATAAAAGATGGAGGGTAGTTGGTCGTGTGTCATAACTCAGAAGGTAAAAGTTAAAATCTTATTCACAAGTGCATTTAGGATAATGTTTAATTTTGAAACAGTGTGAATTGGTTTTTCAATTGTATTTATTTTTACTTTACTTTAAGAGGGAACTGTTTTTTTGTACTCCACTATATTTTTCTGACACTTCAATTTATAAAATGTAATGCAGTAAATATTTTAATAAATATGAACTACCCAAATGTATACAATCTTACAAGTAGGCCTACTGTAGAGATTTTGAATGTAGAACTTTTTACTTAGCATAGCATTTAAGCATCTCAGAAAATTAGAATATTGTGAAAGGGGTAATTTTTTCCTGTAATTTATTTCAAAAAGTGAACCTTTCATATATTGAAGATTTGTCACATGTAAGGTGAAATATAGTAGGCCTTTTTTATTCCAATGTTGATGATTATGGCTTACAGCTCATGGAAATCAAAAATCCATATCTCGAAATATTAGAATATTAATAAAATGACTGTATAATACAGAGATGTCAACCTGAGAAGAGCCTTTAATCTTTTATTCTGGTTCAGTACACACAATCCCAGTCATGGGGGTGGCTTTTGACTTGACACTCATTGACACTCTGTATCAAAGCATATGGAAAGTTGACCGGAAGGTTAAAGTTTTGTTGGAAAAGGTGCACAAGCAACAGAGATGACCGCAGCCTTGAGAGGATTATCAAGCAAAGCTGATACAAGAATTAGTGGGAGCTTCAAAAGGAGTGGACAGAGGCTGGAGTCAGTGCATCAAGAGCCACCAGGTACAGACGTGTCCAGGAAATGAGCTACAATTTTTGCATTGCTAGTGTCAAGCCACTCCTGAACACGTCAAACTTCTTACCTGGGCTAAGGAGAAAAAGAACTGGACCGTTGCTCAGTGGTCCAAAGTCCTCTTTTCAGATGAAAGGAAACTTTGTGTTTCATTTGGAAATCAAGGTCCCAGAGTCTGGAAGACGAGTGGAGAGGTACAGATTTCAAGTTGTTTGAAGTTTCCAGTCAATGATAGTTTGGGGCTTTACTGGCCAGCCAACTTGCCTGACCTGAACCCCATTGAGGGTTACTGTCAAGAGGAAAATGAGAGACACCAGACCCAACGAAACAGAGGAGCTGAAGGCTTTATCAAAGCAACCTGGGCCTCCATAACACCTCAGCAGTGCCACAGGCTGATAGGCCTATAGGCTAGCCTAGCATGAAGTTTCAAAAAGTTTTACTTTTAATATACGTATATAGGCCTATTATGTCATGCGATAATATAATCTTTATTTGTAGAGCACTAAAATACACATAAGATAAATATAATACAAGTAAAATAGAATAAAATAAAGTCAAATAAGATCAGGAAAGGCTGTTTTAAGAAGGGATTTAAGAGTTCACTGACTCAGCCAACCGGATTTCCTCGGGCAAGCTATATACACAGACTCGAAAAAGTAGCATTTCGTGCAAAAGTTCATTTCAGTAATTCAACTTAAAAGGTGAAACTAATATATTATATAGACTCATTACATGCAAAGTGAGATATTTCAAGCCTTTATTTGATATAATCAATGATTATTGCATACAGTTTATGAAAACCCCAAATTCAAAATCTCAGAAAATTAGATTACATGAAATCAATAAAAAAAATATAAAAATTTATATCTAAAAAAACCAAACAAAAAACAGAAATGTCAGCCCTCTGAAAAGTATAATCATGTATATGTACTCAGTACTTGGTTGGGGCCCCTTTTGCATGAATTACTGCTTATTTGCTCTCATCAGAAAAGAGGACTTTGGACCACTGAGAAGCAGACCAGTTTTTCTTTGGCCCAGGTAAGACGCTTCTGACATTGTTTGTTGTTCAGGAGCGGAATACGACATTTGAAGCCCATGTCCAGGACCCGTCTGTGTGTGGTGGCTCTTGATGCAGTAACTCCAGCCTCAGTCCACTCCTTGTGAAGCTCCCCCACACATTTGAATGGCCTTTTCCTGACAATCCTTTCCAGGCTACGGTCATCCCTGCTGCTTGTGCACCTTTTTCTTCCACACTTTTCTCTTCCACTTAACTTTCTATTAATGTGCCTTGATACAGCACTTTGAGAACATCCAACTTCTTTTGCAATTACCTTTTGAGGCTTTCCCTCCTTTTGGAGGGTGTCAATGACGGTTTTCTGCACAACTGTCAGGTCAGCAGTCTTCCCCATGATTGTGAATTCCACTGAACCAGACTGAGAGACCAATTAAAGGCTCAGGAACCCTTTGCAGGTGTTTTGGATTAATTAGCTGATTAGAGTGTGACACTTTGAGCCTACAATACTGAACCTTTTCAAAATATTCTAATTTTCTGAGATTTTGAATTTAGGGTTTTCATATGCTGAAAGCCATAATCATAATCATCGAAATTATATCAAATAAAGGCTTGAAATATCTCACTTTGCATGTAATGAGTCTATATTATATATTAGTTTCACCTTTTAAGCTGAATTACTGAAAAACTTTTGCACGATATGCAAATTCTTCGAGTTTCACCTGTATGTATGTATATGCCTATAGGCTAATCTGATAATATTAATATTTCTTTATTTTATTCCTGAATATCTCCTGAATATAATGTGTTATGGACTGTGGCCTGCAACTGAAAATAAAGCGTCTTTTTTGAATATTAGCACGCTTTCAAACGACACTGTGTGCCGCTTTGTTGATGTCTGCTGTTTCCTGTCTGTGTGTGTTTTCACGTGACCACTCAGAGAGCCCTTGCGCTTCTGAGGCAGCGGCAGACACAAAAAAGGAAACAACGCAGTTTTGAGCTCAGTAACGTTAGTTGCCAAATTATTGTAATACAGGGTGGACGCCTTTAATCGTCGAGGATGTTTTCTCTCGGGGAGAAAATGGAGTTCCTCATAGGAAACCCCTTTTCAACGCCTGTCGGTCAGAGAATCGGTAAGTCGCAGTGTTTCTGAAACTAACGTTAACTAACTAGGAATTGTTCGCCGTTGGATTCAATTTGACATCATTTGAGTTAAATAATCAGTAACATGTCTCAGCATTTTATATCCAAACGGCCAGGGACGTAAAGCAACTTAATAACGTTTTCATTCTGGTTTTCATATTCTAAAATGTTTCATATTTAACTCCAGAATTGACAGAAACACAAGTCTTTACAGCCAGACGCGACAGAGGCAGGACTCATTCCCCATAATCTCTCGTGCGATTGGTTGCTGCAAGTTAAACGACAGCCACTTCAGCGAATTAAGGAGACATTGGTCGTTTCTTGTTACTTCCTTAATCACTGATGTGTTTTGTCGAGCTACAGTTTCACGCCTTATGCACAAGTGCGACTGATCCTCTCCTAAAAGCATTCTTATTATTTTAAACAGCGTTAAAAGCAGCAGGATTTCCTTGTAATGGCAGAAGGCTGCTTCTTTTTGTCAGGCCACTGAACATCTGTAAATTCGGCACGTCCACAAAAGGCTCGAGGCCAGCTGTTGATGCCTGGAAACTAAGATGTGTAATCACGACAGCCATGAGTATTGAGAAAAAGTTCCACACCCCTCTGAAGCCTTCCTTCCTCTTATCTCACCCCCTGACTTTCTCACACATAAATGTCAGAGAGGCTCCAGGTACTTCTGAGGCGAACCAGAACAGAAGCAGCTGACAGTCACATGAAGTGGAGGGAGGAAGGGAGGGAGGGAGTAAAATGTGATTGAGAAATGCATGGGTGAGGGTTTGGAGGACTGTTGGTGGAAAAGAATGAAGGAGATTTAGAGACTTATGAGGAGCCACTGAGGGGTGGAGTGCAAAGCTGGCTTTGATTGCTAAATAGTTTGGAGGGGAATACCTGATTGAGCTGAGAACCAAGGGTTCCTATAAAAGCACTACTATCTGGAGGATAGACCTTCTGCTTCACAGGAGAGATTTCAGTAGATTTGTTCGTGCTCTTCTCACTGGTTTAAAGTGGGTGGGACCTTGTTGGATAAAAGTGATTGCAGAGATTTCCACCAACTAACCAGAATCATTATTTGATGACAATTGTGGGTTTGTTTGCTTATGCTGTGGGAAAGAGGCCAGCTTCAGTCAAATCCCATCCGATTTGATCGTTAAAACGGCACAATCTTAAAAGCCTGTTTTAAGCCTATGGATAATGGATCAAAGGAAGTTGTAATGGCAATTTTTCCTTAGTTTTACCTCTAGCCTTGATTTCCAACGTCCATATCGTTGCCATCATACACAGTTAGGAGTTAAGTTTTACGCAGACACACAAGATTTTCCAGTCATTATTGTAGTTGAGGTTTGTGGTTTATTGCAGTAGTAAATAGTACAACAAATTGATGAACATACCAGTTATTTTCTCATTCTTTGTTTCCAGTTGTTGCATGTATACTGGTCTGTGATCTGTGGTCTGGTGAGAACTCTGTGTGGTCCCCCTACTTGTACCTACCTCTTCCTGTCACCTATGCCCCCTTATATACGACCACGTGCATCTAATTATTGCCACCCAGTGTCCAAAATACTAATATAAATATAGCAAAATAATCAATAAACATAAATGGTTCCTACAGAAGTCATGTGTAATAAAACAACTGTCTCTTGAAGTGATAATCCCACAGAAGTATCAGCAGACTCTACAATTCCCCTCAGCTCTATGAGGCATCTTTCAGCTCATTGTTTTATTTCTTTCAGAGTGTATTATTGGCCACAGCAGGCAGCTAGTTTCAGCAAAAAAGCTCTAAAATCTGACTGTATGCTCCCAGGTCAGCACCAAACAGCAGACAGATAAAGTCAGCAACTGGCTACTGTATATTTTCTCTTAGGAGTGTGCAGAGACCAAACCAGAGCCAAAAGCAGAGTCAATATAGGACCAATATTTGTCAGACGGCCAATAGGCTAATAACATTGCTCTGTGTCTACTAGATGTGTAAACAGGGAACCTTTTGTATCAAAGTGTGGGCAACATATCTTATTTTTTGTGTTGACATTTTTGTCTTTTATTATGGTGTTTTATTACTGTGAGTCACGCTACACATTTTTTGACCCCTCATGACTTTCCATTATTTTGTGGATAGTATGATATCAGTTTTTGCAACATTTATTTATTCCCATATCAGTATTACTGTAACTTCACCCGACTCCCTCTCTGTTGACAGAACAAGCGACCAGCGGCTCTGTGCAGTCGGAGGACTGGGGGCTCACTATGGAGATATGTGACATCATCAACGAGACGGATGAGGGGTAGGATCATAAGTAACATGGTTTCCTCAAGAAGCCACAAACTGCCCCCTTCTGATGACTATTGCCTTACCTTTGTGATATTTCATCCTTATGTATTCATATATCTTTATTTTTGTAAATGAGTATTGCGTATTTACATGTTTAAGATGGACAAACAGCAAACAAATTGTTTTTACTTTTCCCAGACCCAGAGATGCAGTCAAAGCTATTAAGAAGAGAATTGTAGGAAACAAGAACTTCAGAGAGATCATGTTGGCTCTTACTGTGAGTATTCATCTGTATGTCATTGTATGTAAAAAGTTTTATTCATTCTTTCATGAGTTCAGAAATGCAGGGTGTGAGAGTGTAATTTGAAGGCCAGAATGACCCTTGTCCTGATTGGCTGGGGGCCTAGAGGAGATGCTTTCAGAGTGTATTCTTACACAAGCGGCTAAATCAACATTGAAGTCTCAGTGCGCGTATTGAGACAATGTGAGAGACAGCTTTATTTTGGAGCAACTTGAACCACAGAGATTTAAATTACATTTGCTCTTTCTTATGTTGTGGACTTGCATCACTATCATACAGGTCCTTGAGGCCTGTGTAAAGAACTGTGGCCATCGCTTCCACGTTCTGGTGACGTCGCAGGAGTTTGTTGAAGGAGTTTTGGTCCGTTCCATTCTGCCTAAATATAACCCTCCCACTGTCCTCCATGACAGAGTGCTCAGCCTCATACAGGTATGTGGTTGACCCACAGAGGGCAGTATAATAGAAACTGTCTGCATGAAGGCTGTGACTAATGAGTATTTCCATTAATTGCTCTGCTGGTTATTTCTTAAATAATTAATTAATCAACACTATAAAATATCAAAAAATTGTAAAATATACAAAACATTTTACCAAAACCAAATGTGATGTCTTCAGAGAGCTTGTTTTGTCTGACCAACAGTCCCACAAGACAAGGAAAAACCAATTAATCTTTGCTTTACAGTTGAAAAAATTCATTGATTATAAAAATTGTTGCAGATCAATTTTCTGTTGATGATTTCATCCCTAGTCTGAACCCAATTCTATTTTACTTTATTGGAATTCTTATTTTGCTTGCTTTCAGTAGTTTGACAGTGTCTTCGTCTACATTGTGAGAGATTTCAGTGGTGTGTTGACATACCACAGCTTGGACTCTATTATGGCTACAGACATGTTCAATAGCTTTATCTTCAGTGTTTTTTGTGATTTAAGTATCTTCAAACATTCCTATGGTGGTAACTGTAGTAACATGGCCAAAGCCAGTTGCAATGTAATCACAGACTAGCACAATTGATAACATTAGATAGAATCAGGCTTGTAAATGCTGAAGGACCATTCCCTTTCTGTATCTTTTCTTCTTGTTCTTTTCACATGTAATGTTTGTTTTGGTCTGTGTTACTGAACACTTATTTCGGAGTCAATCATTCAAATTATATTTCGTCATATGTTCTCTCCCCCCCCAGTCGTGGGCGGATGCGTTTCGTAACTCTCCCTCCCTGGCGGGGGTGGTATACGTATATGACGACTTGAGGAGACGTGGTTTGGAGTTCCCCATGACAGACTTGGATGCTCTGTCCCCCATACACACTCCGAATAGGGTGAGACTGCCTGCTAAGTAAAAATAACACACCGAATCAAATATATATAGATCTGTCTCTACACTGTACCTGACATTTCACATGTTGACATACACATTTCAACCAAAAAAAAATTGCTGCCTTCATCTTGCAGAGCATCCCGGAAAACGGGACTCCTGAGACGACCCCTGTTGCTGCTCCCCCACTTCGGTCACAACCACAGGCATCTTCTAGTGTTCCCACTCAGAACACTACTCCTCCAGTCCAGCCCAGCGAGGGACCAGTCTCCCTCTCTGCAGAACAGGTACCACTGCCCAAAGACACCTGTCAGTCAATTACTTTTCAAAGCTAGTGATATTTGTAGACTCAATTTCATTTCACTTTGACATAAAAGAACCTTTTTAATTTCAGTGTAAAAAATCCCAATTACACCCATTGTGATTCACATGATCAGGGGTGAAAATGTGAAACTTGTGAAAGTTGAACAGACCCTTGTCAGAGCTGACATTTTGACTTGCAAAGTACAGGTGTAACTAATAACATCGTAATTTCCTGCATTGCACGGCAATAATTGCTGGGGCACAGGCATCATTTATGTTATACCTGTGCTTTTCCTTCTAATAACTAAAATATAATATGTCAGAAGTACAGACTGTTTCTGTGTTGCTGTGGCTGGTAGCAGATATTGTCCAATGTTGCCTTCATACAGTCTAACAGCAATGTATCAATCTAACCTTAGCAGTTAGCAACAAATATTACTATGAAAAAATACTTTTTGTGGCTTTTCACTGCTTTTGATTAAAAAAAAATTCCAATCCAGGAACAGAAGCTGCGGAGTGAGCTGGCGCTGGTGAAGGGAAATCTCACTGTGATGTCAGAAATGCTGAATGAGCTCACACCTGGACTGAGCCAGCAAGATGACACAGAGCTGCTACAGGTGTGTGTCAGAATTGTCTACAGCTGTGGCCAGGTCTTTGCCCTTTTCACCCCATCATTTCATCACTGTTTAAAACAAACTGACAAATGTAAAACAAACTCTGATGCTGCGTTCTTTTATGGTTATACAAGTCTTGGACTGGACTTAATACCAAAGATTAATGATGATTGTCATTGGCAAAGACAGTGAATGAATCCTTCTTTTGTCCTCTTTCCAAGCAGCAGCTGTACTCAGTGTGTAAGAGCATGCAGACTCGAGTGATGGAGCTCATCCCGCAGCTGCTGGACGAAGGGTTTATTGAAGAGCTGCTCGTGGTCAACGATGACCTCAACAACGCCTTTATCCGTTATGAGAGGTGTGCTGCAGCCTGGCTTTGTGTTGTGGATTATGTCAAAATAAAATAAAATGTTAGTTTTAAGAGTGCAGTATATATCTTACTTACAGCTAAAATCATAATCATCGATCTGTAATTGTGTTTTAGGTTTGACAGACTGAACAAGTCACAAATTACAACTACTCAACAGGTAAGAAAGTTCTTGAGTGTAAAGTTTTTTTTCTTCATTTCTGCTATAAAAATATGCTCACACACTACGTGACACTCACTGTGTTGTATCCTCACTACAGCAGAGCTCTACCACAAGCCCAAGCCTCATTGACCTCAGCCCTGAGCCTTCCCAGCCAGCTCACAGCCAACCTGCGCTTATCACAGCAACCAGCCAACCAGCAGTCAGCACCTGGGCCGATCAACGGCAATCACCCAACCACAGTTAGTTAACTCTAGATTACTTCTGGGGTGTATTCCAAGAAGCGGGTTTAGTGCAAACTGAGTTTGTTAAACTCTGGGAAAGGGGGGTAACTTAAACTCTGGGTCAGTCACTGTGGTAACTGACTTTGAACCTAACCTCCCACTGGCAGCTTTTCTTCATCAAACCCTGAGTTCTCTTGGTCTCCTCCCTGTTACAGAGCCAGATGCGGTGTTTCGTGTCCTCGTTGATTCAGTCCGCATCAAGCGTGTATCGAATCGAAGCGGAGGTTTAGTGTATGTTGGAATCTAAATCCTGGTTGGACTGAAGTTATCAAAAGTTACCTCTTTTATGTCAGTCATTTCTTTAAACAGCGTTGTTTGCCCTCACATTCAAATATTACACAGCATCAAGTCACCCTCAGTGCAGAATAAAACTTTTTTAATAACACTTAAAAAGCACTCTGTGCACACAAAGCAGCTGATGTTTATTATACTGTAAGTGTAAGACACACATGATCCATGTATAATTATAACTCATGAGGTGATTGGGCGCACTGATGGAACATAATTCCTATAATATTAGAGATCGTATGAGTGAGCAGGATCGGGGTGAGCTGCACTCTAGAAAGTGAGTTTTTTTTTTTAAACAGGCTATGTATCATCTGTGTTTTAACAGCATTTTAGTGACTTTGTTTAAATTTAGTACATGTGTTGAAGTATCTGAAATAAATCCCCTGAATCCTGTGGAGCCAAGATATAGATATCTAAAATTGAAATTGTACTCTATTTTAACTTCAACCCCTTTTTATGTGCAAATCACCAAACACATTATTACTGGATTAGAGTGTGAGAGTGTTAAAATGGATTGGGCTGGTATTAGCTAGAATTTTTTTTAAATAATAAGTATTTTAAAAATGTTTGTGATTTTATTATTGAATATGTGTTGTTGCAAGAATTTAGATGCCAAGATGGAGGAAGTTGTTACTCATTCAGTTGTAATGTGTTAACCCACTGTCTTGCAGAAGAGGAGGAGGAGTTTGACATGTTTGCCCAGACGAGAGGCAGCTCCCTGGCTGAGCAGAGGAAAAGGTGAGCGTTGCTAACATCACATCATGATACATGCTCTGTCTACATGTGTTATGTCCTGTTTGTATGTTTGTGCAGTACTGACTATAAGTGATGGAAGTGCCTCATCATGAGTAATGACTTTAACCTCTTAACATTCAACAACAATATACTACCTGCTGTAGTAGCAAGCTGTAACTGGATTATTATAGATATCTGCAATCCAAATATTAATGTAAGATATAACAGAATTTTTCATTTTTTAAATGTTAGATGAAATAAGAATCTGACTGGTAAGCCTGAAGTTACTTAAAAGTTAATTTGATTTTTCAGTTTTAATTCCTATTTGGTTTTCAGTTGGCAATTTGGATTTTTCTAACATCCATCACAAACAAAAAGGTCCTTTGCCAATAAGAAGTAAAAGAAGGATGGTCTGGGTTGCTCCCTTAGCCTTATGGTTACAGCGCATGCCACACAATTGCAATGTCAATAGTTCAATCTTTAAAAGAAAATACAGCTGCTCGGCCCTCTACATCACTGTTATGATTGTGTCATCTATCTATCTACAAACTATGTCTCTGTATGCGCTGTTGAAGCTGGAAATAACCATGTTTTTTATAGAGTGGTTGACTGGTTTAATATAGCCTACATTATGTCACAGCATTACAATACTTCTTATCCCCAGTGTCAGGTATGAGGACCCACGAGCTGTCGAGGGCCTTGCTGGAGCTCTGGATACGAGGTTGCAGGTCACAGGAGGGGTGTGTAAACCATCATAACCGAAATTGATTTAAACAAAATATTTCCTGTGAAAGTAGTGCTTAACGTGTAAATATAGCTAAATCACATTGTCCCCTTAACCTTCTCTTTATTATGTTTAGATGCCATCAGCAAAAAACTCCCTGCATAATGAAACTGACAAATGGTTATCTTGTGAGGTAAGATAAAACATCTCTTTCAAACTCTTATTTTGAAATATAAACAATGTGATGTGTGACAAAGTATGATGTCTTTGTGTTTTATTGTGTTTGGAAATGCAGGAAGACCACTCTTCAGTTAGTGAGGGAGTAACCAGTGAAGGTATGTTTTTCTGTTTTTCTCTGTTCATTACTGCCATTTTAGTGTTAAAAAACCCCAGAAAGTTCCATAATTCTTGCTTACTTTCTGTGTGTTCATATGCACCTCTAACTATAACTCTCCCTTTCAGAGTTTGATAAGTTCCTGGAAGATCGGGCGAAGGCAGCAGACCACAGCCCCCAGGCTATTTGCAGCGTGTCACCCTCCACATCTAGACCGCCGCCACAGTCCACCCGGCAACAGGACAGATCACATGACCAGCTTTTTTCACTCTGATTTTGATGACAAACAAGAGAAATGGGTGGATATAAAGGTCAATATATACATGCAATCAATGCCAAGTCAGGTTTTCTCTGAAAGCACACAATAAAACCTGACACTACAGGACTATGGGATTAGAACAGTCTCACAAGTATTAACAAACAAATGTTAAGTTGCGTAACTCATAAAACACAATGCACAAATAAATGTAGAGTGATTTGTATGTGTAAATCTGGATTTGTATCCCTGCCTTTAATTTACAACACGTATGTCATCATTTGGACGTAAACTCATGTAAGGTAAGGTAAGGTCCTTTATTTGTCACATACATGTAGCGAAATTAATCCTCTGCATTTAACCCATCCCTGAAGCGAGCAGCCACTGTACAGTGCCCGGGGACCAACTCCAGATTGAAATGCCATGCCAGGTCAAACGGCACTGACTGGAGAACCTACCTAACATGTGTTTGATGGTGGGGGAAACCGGAGCACCCGGAGAAAACCCACACACACACACAGGGAGAACATGAAAACTCATCACGCCACCGTGCAGCCGTGTGGATCCTTTTGAGACCGTTCTTCTACGCCTTTTGTGTCACAGAAAAAATTTACAAGTGCGGGGAAGACCAAGCCTTTCTTGTAGATGGCGGTAGTGCAACATTTATGGATCGCAACCATACAGTCTGAGGCCAACCGCTTTCAAACTGAACAGAAGATGAAGAACACCAAACCTAGTGCTGTCACTGGTTGCCTGTTTGTGAAGTGAAGGGGCAGCAGCAGCATGGCTAGCTAACTAGCTGCTACAATGCTGCTGTATTCACAGTCATAACAACTGTGGGCCTTCTGTATCTCTGTAAATAACAATGTTGTTTTTTTAGTTAGGGCCTCTTTTTTCATTTACCCACAGTTTCTGCCGCACAGCTGTTATGTTTCTCTTGATAATTTATTTCTTATATCCCAATGAGTAGCTTTCTCTCACATCTAGATCTCTCTTTAGTGCTATTTAGCTGCCATGTCAGCTTTCTGTTTAGTTTAACCAGAGACTGTTCACAGTGGTTGGCATCATAGACTGTATGGTTGGCATCCACAAATACTTCCATCTTCTAGAAGGGCTTGGTCTTCCCTGCACTTGGGAATTTTTTGTGACACAAACAGCATGGAAGAACCATCTCAAAAGGATCCATACAGATACGTAAAGATTCACAAATATATTTCCATCCAAAATGCCAAGTTGAGGATACAATCATGCCACATTTATTTGTGCCTTGTGTTTTACGAGTTACGTCTCTTGACATTTGTTTGTGAATACCTGTTACAGAACTGCTTCCTAATGAACTCATTGCATAAATGTAGTTTTGAGCAGTTCATTCTGCTGTTTATCGTTGTGTACGTATAAACAGGTTTATGTGACTTTATTTATGAATGATTATGTGTTATTATAATGTTGATGTAAACAAAAACTTCAATTAGAACTAATGTTTACAGTTAAGTATAATGATGAAAATATATTTGATATTTTGCCACTGTGTGCCTTTGACCCAGACTGCTGATTTTGTGTAGATGAGAATAAATGGGGCGTTGTCCTGCAAACATGTTGCATCTGTACGCTTTTTAAATATTTTTTTTTTCTGTTCACTCATTATCTAAGCTACCATGAAGGGAATTTACCCTAAAGCTCATTTTCTAACTGATCTAAGTGCAGTCCTTGTGTGAGAGAGCTGTTATTTTTGCAGATCTTGTGTCTGAGGTTGCTGTTACAGCTCGACCAAATCAAGGTCAAATGATACTTGAAAAACAGAGCGTTGAAAAAGAGGTGGGAGCTCAAGTGTGCTCTGGCTATACTCAATAATATGCCTGCTGTTTGTGTGATAAGGCACTAATTTTAGTATGTTATTGATCAAGAGCTCAAGGATGTCTGGTGTTGGGTACACAGTCCCTGAAGCATCCAGAGGAGAATCCACAAGTGAACGGGTGAAAAGGAAGACGAGAGAAACTGTTTCTCATTCTTTATTCATTCATTATGCCATCCACACCTAAGACAATGCTTAGATGGTTCAACTGTAGAGTCTGTCTCTGCTGGATTTCTTTCCTTCAATATGGATCAGCAGCATTCACATCTAACATTTCAACCCAGAATCAGCTTCTGAATGTGACTGGTGTCCAAGACTTGGAGGACACAGATTGGGATTTACCATTTCTTCAACTGAGAGCCAGTCTACCGTCCTACTTGCAGCCAATTCGCCCATACACCCTACTGACATATGCTGAAGACTACCACTACATGCCCAAACCCAGACATTGCCGCCCTTCTTGCCTCCTGCGTATTCTGGGATCCTCTTTTGACCTGTTTTGGATGTTTATAGAGCAGCTGTCTCAAGGCCATAGTGATAATCAACCTTTGCCGAGTGGAGACTGACTGCCTGCCAAATTACCCAACAACACCACTGCCAGAGAGAAATCTAACCTGAGTGCTGCTCCACAGCTGAGAGTGGCTGCAGCAAAACATCGCTGGAAGCTGGAGAAGGAAACTGCAGATCTGGACCTTGGTTCTCTGCCCTCCAGTGGTGCCAGTTCAGTCAGAGACTAGCTAGTCCGCTCGGCCTCTTGTGGATTAAGCTACCAATGGGTGGATCTGGGACCTGCTTTCTGGCCCCGTTGGCTACGGCAGACTGATTGTGAAAGATCAGGTGGAGTGAGAAGTTGCTCATTTCCTGGTGGGATGGAGTGTGTGCGTGCTCAGACAACTCACATAAGGATTCTGGCTTGGCACTGCTTGGAGGTCAGAGAAGGAGGCAATGGGTCTAGAAGGATTAAAGCTGACGGGTCTGATGGCAGCACTGAGATGGGGACAGGTGAAGGCATGAAAAAGTGTATGTGGAAGCAAGTGCCTTATCCTGTGGTCACAGCATGTACATCTTCGTGTAAATTAATGTTTTTCTCACCAGTGCCTGAGATTTTCAATCCTCAGTTGGTTTTGATATGCATAATGTATCTTATACTGTTATTGAGTTGATATTATTGATGAAATCAAAATTGTGTTGACTGATTTTCTAAACCTTATCATATAACTACTTTTAATCACACAGTAAGTCATTGCATGTAGCTTTACTGCCTTTAAGCAAAATGTAATAAAAATATTTTCTACTGATTAATTGTTAAAACCTGTAAAAGTTTTTTTAGCAATGATGCTCTTTTCTAGAGATACTCTGACAACCAGGGAGTTGTCAGTTAAACCACAGTCCTCTGTTGCTGCGAAGGGAGGTGCCTATGCAGTACTTATAGGATACTCATTCACTTCCTGTATTCTATGATGATCTGGGGGTTAGTATATCAACATTTTGACCTCCCTAAAAGTCAAATAAATGTCTAGTACTAATCTGTCAGTTGGTAACCCCCCCCCCCATGTCCTATATTCCCTGTGGGTTGTGCTACATTCATATGTGTGAGAAACTCATGTATCACTGGTTTCAGTACCAGAATTTTCACCTCTCTTTTGTCACTTTTACAAAATTAGCACAACCATGGTTAAACTAGGAGCGTAACCTGAAATTTTATGTTTTACATCAATGAAACATTACAATGTCACCCTAAAAAAATAGGACAATCCAAGAGAAATAAGTATCCTGTTGAGCCATTCGGGGAGCGTGAACAGGAATGGCTTTCGTTTGTATTTATAATAATGCATTCACGCAAATAAAAATTTTTCACTGCAAAAGAAAAAATGGACGCTGAAGAAGGTGTCCAGTACAGGTGGGAGATCCTGGATTTAATACACAGGAAGCTTAGATAGTTAAACTTAGATCTACTACTTAAATCTAAAATCAAGCTGTCTCCTGCTAGTTCTCAAATGTTGCTTATCTAGACACAACATTAGTGCCTAGGTAGGCAACACTGATGTGTAGCCTATTTAATCGTTATTCATTTACACGGTGATTGGGCAAAACATTTTTTAAATTGTAAATGTGTTTCTGTAACGTTACTTGAATGTTTCAAAAACATTTCATTACTGCCATCCAACTTTTATTTAAATGTTTACTTTGCTGCCAATTCTGACCCTATTGGTAATTGAACCTCTATGGGGGAAGACTGACATCACTTTGATATCAAATATATTTGCCACACCTACCAAAAAAAGACCTTTTGCCAGTTATTTCACGCACACGTATATAGTTGGGCTTTGTCCGAGGATCTGTGAATGCAGCAGTGTTGGAACGTCCCACCTGTACGTTAACTGTACACAGACAAGATGGCAGCTTCTTTGGAAGACGAGTTTGAAGATGCGCCTGATGTGGAGCCGTTAGAACCAACACTGAAGAATATCATCGAGCAGAAATCTTTGAAATGGATATTTGTGGGGGGAAAGGGTGGTGTTGGTAAAACGACATGCAGGTAAATTGAAGACAAATGGTCATAAGCCTCCTGATATTGACTCAGCCTACGGCGCTAGCTAACATAACGTTAGCTTTCTTGGATTAGCCGCCACCAAACATTGACGTGGATCTCCGTTAACGTTGACGAATAAGCTGTGTTTTTCCATAACAATAATCTATTTAGTGTTAGCTTAACGTTAACAGCTTAAGACGCATTAAATATCTTTACCGTTACATATGAAGTCAGTTTACGCTATGCTAGTTGTCAAAATGCTGAATGCTGTAAAGCCCTGTCACTAGCTAATGTTAGCCAGCTGACACATGTATTCATGACAAGTCGTTTGACAATCACGTTTCTTTCATTATTTAACGGGAGAACTTTCTTCCCTGTGTTTATTGAACTGGGAACTTTGTGTTGGCTTTTAACAAAGTAAATATAGTAAATAAGTATCCCGGGGTTAAAGAATACTCCAGCTAGCTAGCGTTAAGGTTAGTTACGCCTCTTGTAACTATCGTTGAATCCACTGAGTGATGCTGACAATATTAAAATAATATACAATATCAAAGGCGGAATCAGTGTAAATCACTTTTGTGAGAGAACATTTAAGACTCATACTAGTTTTTTTGTTAAATGCTGTTATCCGTACTAAACATACTATATAAGCACTACATGGAAAAAGTGTTGTTGTGACATGAGGTGCTCTTCTTTGTCCACCTCCTACTGTACAAACCTCTCCTATGTCATTTTTACAGCTGTAGTTTGGCCGTCCAGCTTGCTGCTGTCAGGGAGAGTGTCCTCATCATATCCACTGATCCTGCTCATAACATCTCTGATGCTTTTGACCAGAAGTTCTCGAAGGTGCCCACTAAGGTCAAGGGCTATGAAAACCTCTTTGCGATGGTAAGTCGCACTGCACAGGAAGACAATGTAGGCAGAGATTAGTGAACATGTGAATGTCTTAGCCTGTTTTTATGGAAGCACATGTTCAGAAACAGTTTTGTGGTGATAAAAACAGCTGTTCCAAAAGACATTTTGACTTTTCATAGCAGAAAAAGCACAGGTGTGACTAATAACATTAATTTAATTGTCTCAGTCAGCCATGCACAATTATGGCCCTTTGTATACTTATACTTGTATACTATTTAAATGAGAAAACTTTGAACATATTACATTCTTATTTAATCTAATAGGATTTCAGGAATTTAAACAGTAAATAGATTATGTATAAATAGAAGTGGAAACAGAACTATATCAGAATTATTTTGTTTCTAAACCCTAATTCATATTGAAGTGAAAAAATGGCATAGGCCTTTTTTCACGGCAGACAATTCTGATAGCAGGAAAAGCACAGGTGTTGACAACAACATGAACGATGGCTTTGTTCTGTGTAGATGCCCCAGTAAGCATTGACAATGAGCCGGCAGGAACAATAGCAGGACCCTCAAATTGAAGCTGTTAAATGAAATTAATTTTATTATTTAGAATTGTGCTTTTCTTACTGTGACATATCTAGTGCCACATCTAAATCACATTTTACTTTTTGCTACATTTCAAAAGTTAGTTCGACTAGTGGACTGAAACATAGCTACGTTTGTTTTGGAAAAATTTAGTACATGAGGTCACTATATCTTTAGTGTCATGAGGAAAGTCGGTTCCACATCTGGGTCTCAAGCACAAACTACCATTGTGTAAAAAAAACTGAATTGCTGGAGGCTCTAAAATCATTTGCAGTTACACAGGCCTCAGTTTCTTATGTGCTTATTATTTGTGTCTGTGTGAGTGCAGGAGATTGACCCAAGTCTGGGTGTGGCAGAGCTGCCCGATGAGTTCTTCGAGGAGGACAACATGCTCAGCATGGGTAAGAAGATGATGCAGGAGGCCATGAGCGCCTTCCCTGGTATCGACGAGGCCATGAGCTATGCAGAGGTCATGAGGTAAGACATCATTTTTTTAGTGCTTTTTACTTTATAAAATTAACGCAGCACTATTGTCTACTAGGGATGTGCATCTCTATCACTGAGGCCGACGTGATACGCACTACTGGTACGATACGATTCACCCCTATTGCAATTCGATACGATTTTATACAACGCAGTGCGACTGAATGTGATACGATGCAACAAAGTGAGCAATTCGTTATGGTACAGTTTGATTTTTATTTCATTGTATTAATCATAAATTAACTAAATCAAATTACTTCACACATTTGTTTCTCTAGTACTGCAACTCTGTAAGCATCTCATTTGTGCAGTTTCTTTTTAACTTCTAAAAGACGTGGCTGACAAAAGATAAAATTAAACCAGGCCTGGACCTTGCCTTAGACCAGTCCTTCTATTATTCTACTATTCTATCACACTTTTAAAACACCTCACACACTAAACAGTTAAACAATTCAAGGAAGTAGTTGCAATACTTGCTCACCAGTCTTGCTAGCGGTACCACTTGGGGTAGCTAGAGCTGAAATTGAGAGGGAGGGGGAGGCAGATGTCTCCACACTTGCACCAGGTCACCACTTCAGGTGAGTTAAGCCCCTTTTCCTCTCTCTGCACGGTACCAGCTCGAATGGACTCGCCTCGACTTTTTTTGGTTTTCCATTTGCAGAAAAGTACTTTTTTCGTATCACCTCTGTCAAGGTTCCAAGTGAGTTGAGGCGATACTAAAATGTGACTTGAAAACATGGCAGACTAATTGCGTTGTGTGTGGTATCGTTATGACTACCAGCTACACTGAGGGGTACTATCTGCAATGGTAAACGGAGCACGGCCAAACCGAGTTGAGTAGAGTTGAGTCGGGGTGAGTTGAGCTGGTACTGGTAATGGAAAAACGGCATTAGTTATTAGGTTTGGAGGAATGTATCTTCCTCCTCCTTGCTAATCTAATGCCCCTTTTACACCGCAGAAAAGATGTATCTGTACCTGCTTCCAGGTACTTTTTTTTTGTATCAACTCCGGTTCCAAGTGAGCTGAGATACTATGTGATATGACAACACTGCAGGCCACTGATTGGTCAGAGAGAATCATCACTATTTCCTGCATCATCATTGCGCGCGCCTGACAGAGGCCAACAACAGAAAGTTTTATATTTTACAGTTTTCGTATGTTATTTCATCACTAAATCCACTTCGGAGAATTTTAGAAGCAAGAATTCATCAGTGTAGATTTCTAATATTGGCTGTGTGTTGAAAACTGATGGCGGATCGAAAATGTGCTTTAAACATTATCGGAGTTGAGGAGCTGCGCAAATAGTGGCGGAGAAAGCTCGTGCCATGCGGCCTTTTTCCTGGCGTCAACTCAGTGAAGTGTTTCAGCAGCGGAGCGTTTAGCCCACACGTTGTTAACGTGTTGTTAATTTCTCATTTTGTGTGCTTCAACTACAGATAACTCCCGTTTCGTTCCGCTCTCTGCAGGCTGACGTCACATTTGCCTGCCTGATTTTGCTGACTTCTTCAGATTTTCCTCATTTGTTCTGTTGTCCTTGATTTTTGTGCTTCTAATATGGTTAAGTAGGCTACGTAGTTAAATTGTTTATTTTTTTTGTCTGTTTTAACTGTGTTCATTGTTGATGTACGATCGGGAGTCTGCAAAGGGTCTTTTCTTCTGCCGTACTCTGTCTGACATCTCAATTAGATTTTTCAGCCCTAAATGTAACCAATTTGATACCAAATGCTTGTTCACATTTATAAATAAAGGCATCATGACTCTACTAATTTTATATATGTAAATCAGATTATACTGATGTAAAGATGTTAGAAAAGATACGTCTCAAGTTCATCCCAAATTGTAACCGGTGCACACTTTTCTATCAGGCAAATTACATCTTGAACTTTTATGCCGTGCACCAAGGTGAATCGGTGAATCTTACCATCCTTACTGTCTATTGTACCTCAGGTTAGTGAAAGGAATGAACTTCTCAGTGGTGGTCTTTGACACTGCCCCTACCGGTCACACGCTGCGGCTGCTCAACTTTCCCACCATTGTGGAGCGTGGTCTGGGCCGCCTTATGCAGATAAAGAACCAGATCAGCCCTTTCATCTCCCAGGTGAGGCGTTTCCTTCGCATATTGATTGTAGTCATTTACTGATATTATTATTATATTTTTTTTTTTGTCTGTAAAAGCGTCACAAAGTAAAGATGAAGCAAATATCATAAGTATTTATTTTATTCTCTATATCTCTTCAGATGTGCAACATGCTTGGTCTAGGGGACATGAACGCCGACCAGCTGGCCTCTAAGCTCGAGGAGACCCTGCCAGTCATCCGCTCAGTCAGTGAGCAGTTCAAAGATCCTGTAAGTCACCCCGGTTGCAGTTTTAACCCGAGCACATTACTGTTGCTTGAGTTTGCTTTGTACATTACAGGCTTTTCAACCTGCATTTAGTTATGCTTCTCTACTCTGTTGCTGTTCAGAGGTTCCCACCATAACTTCAATGCTTCTTCCCCAAAACCTAACAGAGCTTACATGAGACCCCAGGAGCTTGGTTTGGGTGCCATTTTTGATTGTTGATAGTCAAGATAATGTGAAGCCGGTGAAGGAGAGGGCACATTTATCCAGTATTGGCCGACAAATTTAGCATTTTTTCTAAGCCATTTTCACTGCTAACCTCCCACTTGCTCTGGCTGTATCACTCTAAACACACAGACATTCCTTTACTCTATATGTCTATACAGCATGGCTGTGTTGCAACAAAAGTAATGTTAAACCCTTTTTTCTCCAATAATAGCTAGTCTGTTTTAGTAGATTGTTTAACGTGTCCTATTTCTATTGCATCTTGTCCTCTGGCTGCAACTTCTGCATGTCCAATGTTGATTTCAGATCTTTTTAGCATTTAGAGTAAGGCTTGAACTAGTCATAAAAACTTTCTATATACTGTACATGTTGTGACCCTTCCCCACTTTTCTCAAACCCATCAGGAACAGACCACCTTCATCTGTGTGTGTATCGCCGAGTTCCTCTCCCTGTACGAGACGGAGCGGCTGATACAGGAACTGGCCAAGTGCCGCATCGACACACACAACATCATCGTCAACCAACTTGTTTTCCCTGACTCAGAGAGGCCGTGTAAAATGTGTGAAGCCCGCCATAAAATTCAGTCCAAGTATTTAGACCAGGTACGAGTCAGAAGTTTGTTTTTGGGTTGTAACAATACAGCTGTGTTATTTACATCCAGTGTCACACGTGGTTGTCCTCATTAATGGCCTGTCTTCTCACTACAGATGGAGGACCTTTATGAAGATTTCCACATAGTCAAGTTACCGTTGCTACCCCATGAAGTTCGAGGTGCTGACAAGGTCAACACGTTCTCAAAGCAACTTCTGGAACCCTACAAACCCCCAAATAAGTGATCTCCCTCCCTGCAGGACCTCCACTCTCCCTCCTACAGACCACACCTTTGCAGTCTGAACTCACCTCCTCTGAGATCCCACCCCCCCAACCAGCCTCAAACCTCGCAGTAACAGCCTCAAGTTGATCCACAGAGTCCTCTGCCCGTCATCCAAAGTAGAGCACTGCTACAGCAAGACACGCCCTTATTGAAGGGGAGCTGATGAAATCACAAACACACACATACATACATAACCTGCTATGTTGTCAGAGAGATAAGATGGTACAGATTTGTGCTGCTTTCCTCTCGACTCACCTTCTCGGTCCTTCATATCCTCTGTGTGGCAGTTGTATTATTCCTACTCCAAAAGCATTTAACTTTTTCTCTAAAGAACAAACTTCCCCCTCTTCATCCTGCAGTGTCCAGCCTCAGTTGTGAAAACAAAGTGTTTCAAGTAACGTCGCTGTGTATTCCAGGATAAAACGGCTTTCAAATGGTTGATGTTTATGGCTTGTTTATTCTGTGTGGTTCGGTGGCTGTGTCTGTCCTCCAGTGTGACCAAAATTTAATGCAAATTCATCTCTCACTTATTGGGGAATTTACATGAAAATTTCAGGGTGACCTCAATACGCTCAGAGCAGTTTGTAGTGCATCTTCTACCATTTGTCAAATCATTAGACCACCCCTCGCCATGTGATCCTGGTGAAAAGGCAGTAACCTAATGTGACTGAGATTTTGAATCAAGTCATACTGGGAGCTTTACATCCATACATGGCTATTAATTGTTTGAGCTGGACAGTCTTAATGGCCTCTGTTAAATATTTTAGGCCACTGTGTTTGCTTCAGGTGGTATGTGTTTGGAGACGGCACAAGTTATGACATTCAAAGGCAAAGTATTTGATGAGACGCTTGATGTTTGAATCGCCATAAGCTGTAAGAGTTTATTATTGATACCAGCTTCCCATATAGTGCTCACAAAAGTCCTCAAACTCTTCTCTTTGACATTTTGTGTCCATCCTGTTTACTGAGAACTATATGGGAACACTATTGAAATACATTACAATAGCCTTATTTAGTGCATTGTTAATTCAAAATATACTGAATGTTGAACAAATGAATGGTGATCAACACCTCTTTGCCCTGGTCATTGAATGCTGGACTTTTATGGCTCGCCTGATGCTTTTCTGTTATCCAACAGAAAGATAGATGATAGAGGTTAATGCATCCTCCAAGGAAAACCATTATTACCCCCTCTCTGTCACTGAATGCTTTTGAGTCCAAACAAATCTGTTTTCTATAGATTTTCTTTAAATTATGTTGCGAGTGTTAATTAAAACAAACTTGCCTAAGATGAGAGCCTTTTGTGGTCATTCCTTTGATCTACACACTGCTTATTTAATGTGTCTGTTAACCAATTTAGACGGACGCACATTTTCGTAAGAGCGCACCGACGTAACCGCCCATAATGATGCACCAATGCTTAAGCAGCATGTTAGAGTTGTAGTTGTAAATTCTCGCTATACTATTATAGCATAGGCTACTATTAAGTAGTTTTAACCATAGGGCCCCAATCTAGGGGTCCGCCCCTTGCTAAGGGTCGCAAGATACATCTAAGAGCTGTTGAGATTATTAAGGAGGTAGAAAAGACAAAAGATGTGCTAAACAAATTTGTATTGCTGTATTACTATTGTTTGACTTTTTCTTGGCTTTTTGTGCGAAATATTTGTTTTTTCCTCTTGGGGCCCCAGACTTTTATTTCAGAGTTTAGAGTCCCTTTTTTATGGAGCACATACTCATAATCCGATATGTTAAGAACCACTATACAATAATACAATATAATACTGCACTGTAGAAGTAGCTAAATAGTAACTAACACTGTTAAATACATTTTGTGAAATAAAAAGTACAATGACCTCTGAAATGTAGAGAAGTAAATGTATAGTACTATAAAGAAGCAAAAAAATAAAACAATCAAGTACAGTACCCCAAAATTGTGCTTCAGGCTTCCTTATATTCCACCACTGCAGGAGCATCACAGGCACAGCCAGTGTTACTGTTTAAAATATCCAACAAGTCAAGTTTAGTCTGAAAAAATATGTTCTGGTGGGATTATTCCACCCCACTGGGATTTTTTTTTCTTGTTCCAAGAATAAGAAGATGTTTGAAAGGATTAATGAGACCACATGACACAAAACGCTTCTGTCCATAGGCCTGTTGCAGGAAATAAGCAGGCCTATATAGCCTATATATATTTGCTAATAAGCCGTAACACGTAGGCTATAATTATAAACCCGTAACCGGGAAAATTGGTTGTCATTCATCACTTAACACGAAAGTTTGCCATCCTCTATTGCTCCTGTTTCATAACTAACCACTGTACTGGACGGTCCTGTGCGCTCCTGGTGCCCCGGCGCTGCGGCCTGTCGCTTGTGGTCCATCACCGAGCCGCGCTCTCCCGGTCGGGGGCCGCGCTAACGAGCTCCTCCTCCTCGTTTTGGGGATTTACCCCGGGGCGCACTGACCACTCCACGCACCGAGGAGGCTCCGAGGATTACTGCCATGCAGCCGACCGAGCCTCCTTAACCGAGCAGACGCCAGGGGATATCAGGGTTATGAGCTCACTGAAAAAAACACCACTGGCAAGCACAGGGAGCAGCGCAGCGAAGACTATACTGTTAAGAGAAAATATGAATTCACCTCTCCAGTGGTGCCAATTACGCACAGAGATGCGCTGAGCAACTTCATTAAGAAAAAAACACCACAAAAGGTAAGGAGATATTATTTAAAGATAAAATACCTTAGAAACAACTTAAGAGGTGATTAAGTTTAATTCGATAAAGGTAATGAAAATTCACTTATCTGTGAATGAAATTAAGTTTAAAACGACCACAGAGACTTATTTAGATTCTTAGGTGAACAATTTTGTCATTTCCATGGCTTCTGACCCACCTGAACATGTTACATGAGCACGTTTGTTCGCGCTGCAGGTGTACATTAATTACAAATGTGATTGTTTCTGTCATACAGCTCTTTAATCGAGGACCTGTACTCTGGCTGTCACCAATGACGGTCACCTACACGGCCAGAGTTGCAAATGCCCGTTTCTGTGGCTTCTCCAAGCTGCTTTTGGCCTGGAAAGGCAGCATCTACAAGGTTTTATATAAAGAGTTCCTGGCTTTCTTTGCCATGTATACCGCCATCAGCATCACTTACAGGTAAGACATTAAAAGACAGCTTTAGGACACACTGGCTGCTAACACGTGCGCATCAGCGCTTTGATTCACTAGTCTATCACTTTTACCCTTTTAGGTTTTTCCTGTATGATGACCAGAAGAGGTATTTTGAAAAGCTGGCCATTTACTGCAACCACTACGCCAGTCTCATCCCTATGTCATTTGTACTGGGTAAGCAGCGCTAATGATGTTCATGTCAACTTTTGGAGATGAGTAGAGAGGACAGAATTCATGCAATAGTGTGTCCCAGGATTTTGTTTACTGTGATGTTTGCATCTTTGATTTTGGGACTATAAATTTGTATGATCTGCAGAATAACACAAGAGAGCAGCCACAAATTTACATTACAACTTCTTATAGGTTTCAATGTCAAGGACATGCTCTATTTCTAGGTTTATAGCTTAGGGGCACATATACATGACCATTAATGCATTAGAAATATAAATATATCTACTGTAGGTGGTGGAGGGAATGGTAACATTCTGATTTAATTCTGATTCATGCCAGTACTGATTTTTGGGGTGAGCAAAATATTTCAGTTGAAATATACTGGGCAACTTTACTATTAATATGCATTTTAGCAAGGATCACTCAAAAGACTCTTCTCTACATGATGTACTGTAAGTTTATTAATTTGGTCTTTTTTCCTTCATTTATTTCTTTACTCCTTAATGCACATAACCCAGCTAAAGTACTTGCTAAAGCTTTCGTTTACAGTAGGATAAGTCAAGGTTGTCTGACAAAATTGGCTCTCTAAAGTATCAGTTGGGCTCCATAGCAGAAATGACCATGAAACCATTTTGCTGGGGGCCCCTGAGGCCACAGTTAAGGTGACCTGCTGGTTTCTGGACTCCACTAGGGAAACTCAAAGGACACTTGTTAGAAAAAATAAGTTCAGGTCTGATCTGTGTCTCCATCTCTACCGCTGTTTACAGGCTTTTATGTGACCCTGGTGGTGAATCGGTGGTGGAGCCAGTACACAAGCATCCCGCTCCCTGACAGGCTCATGTGCGTCCTGTCAGGGGGCCTCCAGGGGAGCGACGAGCGGGGCCGCCTGCTGAGACGAACCATGATGCGTTATGCCAGTCTGTCGGCCCTGCTCATCCTCCGCTCCGTCAGCACAGCCGTATTTAAACGTTTCCCCACCATGGACCACGTGGTGGAGGCTGGTGAGTACGTGTTTGGACAGGAGTGGGGATGAGGGTGGTGGGGTCCATCCTCAGCCATCACCCAGCATGATTTGAGTCAAGTATTAGGAGCGTAAACAATTGTAGAAAGGAAGTTTTAAATGAATAAAACTTGAAATAAATAGTGAAAAATGCACTTTGTTGTTTGCAACATTGTTGCACAGTACAACCATTATTTTTAGCCAGTGCACCTCTCACTAATTATAATTTTGTTATATATGTCGGGCTAACTTTTGTCAGGCTGTGTTCAGGAAGTCACAGGCAGTATTGTAGATGGGATAATGTGATCAGTGACACACTCACATCATGAGAGTTTGTTGTTTTCTCTCCCGTACATTCTCTACACCAGCGAGAGCAGGAGAAATCACAAGGACAGGCACATCCTGAAATTCCCTGGTGATAAAAAAAAACATTTATCATACTTCCGTTACAAGATCATGAGACACTGGTGTAGCAATCCTCTCTAGTTCTCTGTTCACTGTTCTCCAAATTAACTTTGATGCAACTTCTGGCGGCATCAACGCTTGATTTACCCTGTGACATTGTTTTTAAGAGTTGTGAACAATTGTCAGTAATAATATATTTTAACAAGCTATTTTCTGACTGACCGAGTGTCTTATCTTGACATGGTGAATTATTTCTCACTCACTATGTAATGACTTACATGCAAACCAGAAAAGTTCAGGCAACCACAGGCTGAATCATACAGAATACTGATCCCTCATTCCTGCCCTTCTGTGAGCCGAATTTTACATTAGTAATAAAGGAATCTGAGGTATGACGTTTTAGTCTGCTGTCTGTGCAGGATTCATGTCAAGAGAGGAACGGAAGAAGTTCGAGGGTCTCCACTCTCCTTATAACAAATACTGGATCCCCTGCGTTTGGTTCACCAACCTGGCGGCTGTGGCCCGCTGCGAGGGCAGGATTAAAGACGATCACACACTCAAACTGCTGCTGGAGGTGCAGCATTATACACACACACACACACACACACACACACACACACCACTACACAGCCCCGCAGATGATGTGCAATTACAGTTTTTGTGTTGTGAGTTGTGAGTTGTGACTCAGTTTGAGATGTAAATTTGCACAGACGTGGAGACACAAGAGTCAGGATAAATGCTGGAAAGTGACCTCAGCTAGTCTCTCTATTTGAACAGGAGCTGAATGCGTTCAGAGGGAAGTGCAGCATGCTGTTTCATTACGACATGATCAGTGTTCCCCTAGTCTACACTCAGGTAAGTGCTCTGCTGCTGGGGAATGGTGCAGGATTTATATACTGCTAAGTGCACTTTATTCGATCACACTCGTATATTTAATTGAACTCTGGTTTTCATGCAACGTTACACTCAAGATGTTTCATGTTTTGTTTTTTCTTGAGGCTTTTGTCTAACGTTTTGTCAGTTTTCCGCATTGGTCCTAAAGTGTTATTTTATTTTAAAGGTATTTAGTTCCCACTATAGCAAATCAAAATGTCATTCAAAATGAATTTCATCCCCTGCCAAGAATGGCCAATTAACTCACATTGTCCATAAGAAAAATAAATAGATCTATTTCTGGATTCAGTCAACTTTGGTAGTCGTTTCGTATTAATGTCTAACAGATCAACTCTATTAATGTGACTTTCACTTTTATAGGACTTTTTCACAGAAGGCTTATGACTTGTCCTAGCAGCATGTGACATATGCGTAACTAATGACACTAACGATTAATTTAATTGTTCCACACCTAAGTGAAAGACCCTTATTAAGGTTATTTGCTGCACTTGTGTTGAGTCTGAGAAAGGTGTATGGCTAGAGCTGCTATTTTTAACTGTTAAAAGTTCAAACTGAAACTTATCTCCATTAAATAACTATCCATTTTACGAATCATACCATATAAATATGGTTTGTTTATCTATATGATATTTTATCAATCATTTTTTTAAATACAATGCACGAATGTTGTTCTCATCTTGAAACAGTAAGCCAATCTCATTTAGATCAAAGATACTTGCTGTCTGCACAAAATATTGTGTGAGTTTGTGCAGTACAACTTTGTCTACTTGTTTGCAGCATGTGACAAATTACCTCTGTGTTTCCCACAGGTGGTGACTTTGGCAGTTTACAGTTTTTTCCTGGTGTGTCTAATTGGTCGCCAGTTCCTGGACCCCAATCAAGGCTATCCAGGTCATGACCTTGACCTCTATGTGCCCATCTTCACCCTGCTACAGTTCTTCTTTTATGCTGGGTGGCTTAAGGTCAGAAAGAGGGTCACATATCATATGTTTTGATACCTGAGCAAAATATAAAGATAAAACAGTATTAATGATTGATTTAGTAAACTTGTTACATTCCCTGCTATATCCTGAAGGTTGCAGAGCAGCTGATAAACCCTTTTGGAGAAGATGATGATGACTTTGAGACCAACTGGCTGATAGACAGAAATTTCCAGGTTTCTTGATTTTAATGCTGTCTATTTTCTTTCATTTTTTTTTTCCTTTGTTACACCTTACTCTAAGTATTCTGTTATAATATACACTCTCAATTTCTTTGTTAGAATGTGTTGAAAAGCACTTATCTAAAACATATCTGTTTGCAATCCCACATGGGAAATCAGAGGCCATATTACTAGATCCTGCTCAAACTTGGTTTTCCATTTTAACTGTCTTTAGTACAGTATAACTCTAATAAGCCTGTAATGGGACTTGCCCTTTACTGTGAATACTTGATCTGTGTGTGTGTCTGTATTTTGCTCTGCAGGTGTCCATGATGGCGGTAGACGAGATGTATGGAGATCTGCCGATGATGGAGAGAGATCGCTACTGGAATGACTCCAACCCTAGACCCCCGTACACCGCTGCCACTCTCTTTGTCCTCCGCAAACCTTCCTTCCAAGGGTCTACTTTCGACATGGCGTGAGTGTCTGGGTTTTACCTTCTTATTCTACGTGTGCTCAACTTGTGACTGTGACACTTTCAGTTTGAATCCCCCTGCTAGGTGGGAAACTAAAAGCAAAGGTATTCTGATACTGACTGTAAGGTGTGGTATTTTCAGGGAAATTAAATCTAAATTACCAACATCTTTTGATAGGATCCCTAAAGAGGAAATGCACTTCCAGCCTCTGGAGGACATTGCTGAAAATCTGGAGGAGTCCGGCATTCGTCACCCCAACATGGCCCTTTTCAACCGCCTACTCAACGCGGCCCCCTCCCCTAGTGGCCTCATGGGAGGTGCTCTTCGCCGTACCTCAGCACAACTGCAGAGGCTACGTCACTCCCCCAGCATTGACCAATGCACCAGCGATGATGATGATGACAATGAAAGTTGTAAAATAGGTAAAGGTGGGTCTCTGCCATCAGGGCTGGGGCAGGAAACCCAGAGCACCGTGTGCAGTTTCAGGGAGGAGAAGAGCGCCAGAACACCTCTGCTGGAGGTCCACTTTGGGGCGGAGCAGGAGAGGCGAGGAGGGCACCCTGCCATTAATGAGAAGGAGGAGATGAGTGGAGTGGAGGGGAAGAATGATGAAGAATGGCAGATGAAGGAGGAAAGATGGAAAACAGAAAGCCGGGAGCACCAAGCTCCATTGTCACTGCTTCCTCCTCCCCCCCAGTCCTCAAGAGAAACGTTCACTCGACCAGCCTCCGCCATTTCCATCACCTCCCGTCACCCCTCTGCCTTTCTCTTTCAGCCGGCTACCAATGCCAGTCTGGAGCACTGCAGCTCCCAGCCAGCTATTAACCAAAATCGAGCTGTGCCTGCCATTCCTAAACCTCCCCTAGGTGGAAACAAAATGTCCTTCCTCACTGTGCCGTCGTACGACGAACCTCAGCGTTTTCGGAGTGTGAGCATGGGTTCAGAGCTCACTGGGTCTTAGGTGGACAATAGGTTGTGATGTTCCCATGTCCTTTTGACTGTATGAAACCATAATGCTCAATTCAGTGCACATTTTCACGAGTGATATTAGTCATAGATGGAACTGAGCTTCCACTTTTACTTTGAATCTGCAGCACTTTTGGATTGACCTGCTTTTGGAAATTAAAAAAGCAAAGAAATTAAACATTTTTTAACTTGTACTCCCAGATTTTATAGCTCCCTATATTTCCGTATATTATTTATAGCTCCCTATATTTCAAAAATATCCTCTCACCTCACTGATGAATTTAGGTAGGCCTACACTATAGGCATAACTAATATATCGGTTTCATCTCTGTGTATTCTGTAATACAATACAATAGTATTGTTATTGTGTAATACTCTGTGTATTTAAATACAGACATTACATGTTTATGCTAAGCTAGGCTAAACAAGTTTCATCATGTTTAGCCTAGCTTAGCACAGTGACTGGAGGCAGGGGAGATTGCCTGCATCAAAAAAGGCGTAAACGACTCCAAAAGTTAACGTTACATATTGTGTCTTAGCTGCTAGCAGTGCACCCAAGAGTCACCAGGGTGTGATTTAGAGTTGGTAAAGTCTAAAGTTTCATCAAGGGGCAGGACTTTGGAGGTGTCATAAGCTAGCTTACTAATTGGCTAGCTTCTTAGTAATTAAGCTGCTCAGTGCCAGTGGGGTTTTATTGTTATGTTTGTTAAATACAGAAAATACTACATAATGAGAGAGCTTTGGAGTTGCTGCGAGGCAATAATGGCAGAGTTAGATGTTTCCCCCTTCTTTCAGTCTTTGTGCTCAGCTAGGCTAAACATGGCAAAGCAACTGTTTACTGAAGAGGTGAAACTGAAACCAATTGTTGCTCAAAGAGTGTGTGTTTAAAGAAAAATAATTTCTGGGTTTCCAGTTATCTGCACATTATAAATCGATTGCCTGTTACTACTGAAGTCTGTACTAGTAGCATTAACCAAAGCCTGGTCAGAAAATGATCCTGATATTAAGACAAAATGGGTGACTTTTCTTTGTTCACTTTATTTTCTTTTGATTAATAAAATATTCCTGTAATTATCTTTTAAATTTTCAAAAACTTAATTTAAACATATATTGAATGAAAAAACACAGCAGTTTTACATTAATGACAAAATTAATAGTCATTGTTTTGCATTATTTCTAATGGATATTGTATCTTACCTGCAAAAATAAATGCATAGATATTATACAATGAAGAATGCAGCAGACAACCTGGTGATTATTGACAAGCACACAATTAGTTATAATATAGATAGATAAAAGCAGTGTAATCTATGACATTGATTATTTAGTTTTTACATATCACTCCAGTACTAACTTTGACCAGCAGGGGGTGAAAGCAGCAAACCAAATAGAGCATAGACTGTGAAGACCTCACACTATGAAAGAAAAAAAATATTACACAATCTTGATTTCCATCCTGCCCATGAGTGGGCTGCGCTCCTCCATTTCTGCCTGAAGATGGAGGCTCCTACCTGGGCTGCAGCCGGGGGAAAAGTGCCCTCCTGGCCTGGGTGGATTGCCTCTGCTTGGACAGGAAAGACTGAGCTGGGCCTGGATTTCTGGAGTCCTTAAACAGAGTATGCTTCTGCAGAGCTGAGGACTGCAAGAGGCAAAAACAACCGTCATCTGTTAGTGGAAACACATTAATACTAAAATTTAGGCATGTTTACCAGACTGGACTGACACCTACTATCACTAATAATGAGATGCACTATTACTATTACCATGCCAGCATAAACTAATAATTACAAAGTGTCTAACACTTTGTAATTATTAGTTCATCCTACAAATATCAGCCCTACAAATTAAATTTGTAAACAAATAACATTTGAAAACAAAATATCACTGCAAGGAGTGCATAGGTAAAACAAGACCGGGGCTCAATCCCTGTAAGTGGCTTGGTTTTGAGAAGCCAGTGAGGGATCAAACGTGAAGCTCTGTGTAGTATCCACCGTTCTCTCATGTACTCACCATGCTTTGCCAGGCTGTCAGGATCAGTTGCTCCTCTTGTTCCTGTCTGGACCTTGTATTATCACCCTGTGTGTCCAGTCACATTTGAACTTTTACCAAATCACACACACAATGTGATGAAATGCCCAACACAATACAAAAAGTACTTTAGGTAAGTTAAAGAGTTTGGACAGAAACCAACTCACCATTGGTGCAGCTGTCGTCATAGTATCAAAGGGTCTGGCCTCCTCGTTGCTGGTCATTATTCCAGATATAACGCAACACGATTAATTCAACCCAAATACAACCAAAGAAATGTTTGTGTGACTGTCCGGCTTGCACACCAACAGCCCCCTGACCTGCCTCGTCTGTCAGTAGCTCAGTGCGGCTCTTGGCTGTATTTTACAGCAGAGGCCCTGGTTTTGTTGTGTGGCAGACAGAACAATATGGAGAGGTGCTGCGGGCTTAAGTGCTCTGGCTCCTCGCCACAGTCAAAGATGCCATCCTGCTGACTCGGGCACATTCACTGTCGGACAATTATTCACTGGGCTGGGGATTAGTATGTAATCACCAAAACACAATGCAATTAGCTTGACAATAGTTATGGCATACTTTGAAATTTAGTACATAAAGTTGGGTATCTCAGAACTAGCATAGAAATCATGACATGGATAAAGCAATAAAAATGCAATTATGGTGTTAAAAAGAAAATACCAGTTGCGCCATATCACGCTCTGATGTTTCCACAAAGATCCACAAGTTAGCATGCCTGTTTGTTTGTCTGTTTAACTGAGTCATTACCAGTTTCAGTGACCCAGAAATACTGTAGTTCCCCTAATTATCACTTGACCAGCATCAAAAGCCAGCAGTATCAGCATATCATGCAAGATCAAGCAACAGAGAAAATATATGGCCACTTGTGGCTAGTTGTTTACCGGGGCTCTGCATTTCCTGTCTCCCAGAGTCAGTTTTTACAAAGGTCAACCCATTCCAGTCTTTGCGCTGGCTGCAGGGGAAATGCGGTTTATGTTTTTGTCATTAAGTGTGAAAACACAAGTGTGGGGGAGGATTTCAAAGAACTGTGTTTGTGTGCGTTTTCTCTGGAACCAGGAGCACTGAGGTCAGCAGGCAGGCTTACCAAAACTGATTTAAGACTCACATCTACTCTGCAGTTCCTCACAAATGAACGTATATTTGCAAGTGTGCGCATCTCACTTGTATGTATTTGCTGCTGTGTACTTTTAGTTTGTGAGGTTTTGTGGAAAAGACATGTACTCCTGAAACGGAAAAAAGTAAAAGAAAGGAAACAGAGAAACAGAAATGTGGGAAGAAAAGAAACTTTCATCGTCAAGTTTCTTGGAATCGGCTTCATCTGAAACCTGCGAATGTTAACTCTGTTATGAAAGAGATCACAAGGCCACAACAGATGCACAAAGCACTGTAGATTCCTGTTAGCTAGCAAGGCCTGAACATCTCTTGCAAAAGCTTCCACCTACTGCTGCAGTTTCTGAACTACAGTCTGAGATTTCTGCTTCATCACAATCAGTTTCCTCGCATCAGCGCATCACACGGATCAAACTTCTTGAAGCAGTAGATTTTTAGAATAGGCATTCGTGACCATAATTTTTATCAGTTACGATAATTCACAAAAGTAACTGCTGAGGTCCAAGTCCAAAGAGGAAAGAAACACGAGCAGCTAGACTAGCTGTAAACACGGCAAACATTTAGCAAGATCATCTAAACCACTTTAATTTTTAGGTAAAACTGAAAACTGAGAACACCCATGATCAGTAAAACCTTTCAGTGCACAGTGAAACTGTGTGTGTGTGTGTGTGTAAATCTACTACTATCTACTAAGTACAGTAGAGCAAAGTTGAACCAGGAAGTTACATTAAACTGTGATTACAGATTACAGATTACAGCACTCAGTGTGGGTAATAAGTTTACTGTTTGTCTGTCTGCCACCGAAACCTTAGCGATTAACTTAATGAGTAGATTATTTTACAGTGGGCCAAACAATGAAAATACAACGAAGCTGTATGAAACCAGAATTTCTCTTTAGTCACATTATGTCAGCGTGATGTCAAGCCAAACAGATAATAAATACTGATGGATAGTAGCTATACAGAGAATACGCTGTCAATTGCTGTCAATCCGCTACATTCAAATAAAGTTTGAAAAGTAGGTGTGGTTTAACAGAATCTCAATCATCTGTAAATGTACTAGAAAAGAGCCATACATGTTTTATCCATGACATATATGATGTGTCCTCATGTAGGAGTTGATCACCGGAAAATGAACAAGGGTTGTATTGTTAAAAATAGAAACCAACACTGGATGGCCAAAAAGTTCAAAGTCCTTAAAAATAAGGCAAACAACATGAAAATACAATTTAAATAGTGTACATCTCTGTTGAATACAATGACACAACATATAGCTGGCGTATCCAAAAAAGGACAGAAACATCTACACCCATGAAAAAGATAAACACACCCACGCTTATGCCAGTACATACATACACTCACACATATAAACAAGTCATCAATTTAACTGCAACAATATTTGTTTTGATTTATTTGTTGGAAAAATACATACTATTTAGGGAACATTATGGAAAAACAGGATCTAACATGCTCTTTCAACTGAGCAAACACACATGACTCCACTCAGTGTTTATTGTACCAATTCTAACCCTGTACTTGTCACATTTGTTTTTGTCTGGTGTGTGTGCGTGTGTGTGTGTGTGTTTCAGGCACTCCCTGTCTTTCACACCCTGCCTCATGAAGTAGTACACTCTGTGCATAAGGACCTGTCTGTCTGGTTCTCTCCGGTCGTTTGTGTGTGTGTGTGTATGTGTGTGTGTATATGTGTGTGTCTGTCTATCAGCTGTTACAAGCTGGTTCTCCCTCTCTGTCACACACACATAAAGTACCCTTTTGGCTGTCTGTTGTACTGACTTTGTTTAAACAAGACCACTTTATCAGTATTGTCTGACCCAGAATGAATCAACTGTTTGTTAATGGTCTGTCTGACAGTGTAATGTTATCAAGATAGATGGGAATATAAAAGACTGTGTGTGTGTCTAAATGATCATATGTTTGTGTTTAAAGTACCCAGTAGATAACTTTTTTATTTTTATTGTCTTTTTTCATCTTTCAACATCAGTGGTGGAAGAAGTATTCAGATCCTTTACGTAAGTAAAAGTACTAATAGCTCACTGTAGATATACTCTGTTACAAGTAAAAGTACTCAAAGCAGAATGTTATACCATTTTATGTTATCCATTGTCAACCGCTTATCCAGCATACAGGGTTGCGGGGGGGCTGGAGCCAATCCCAGCTGACATTGGGCGCAAGGCGGGGTACACCCTGGACAGGTCGCCAGTCCATCGCAGGGCCACACATAGACGAACAACCACTCACGCTCACGCCTAAGGACAATTTAGGGTCGCCAATTAACCTCTTTGGATGGTGGGATGAAGCTGGAGTACCTGGAGAGAACCCATGCAGACATGGGGAGAACATGAAACAGGCCTGGGCAACCGGGGTTTGAACCCACAACCTTCTTGCTGTGAGGCGACAGTGCTAACCACCGCACCACCGTGCCACCCATTTTATGTTATATATATGATTATTATTACCAAGCTACCAAGACTATGCACATTTTACCTTCAGACAGAGCCAGCTGTTTCTATTCTAGTCTTTATGCTAGGCTATACTAAGCGTCTCCCGTCTCCAGTTTCAGTATTGAATGAACAGATATATGACAGTGGTATTGATCTTTCTATGCAAGAAAGCAAATAAACATATTTCCAAAATACTGAACTTGAAATTTTCTTTTTTTTCCCCCTTTAATTGTCCCCTCACTCACAGAATAGTCACAGAAACTCAGTTAGTTCAACGTGATGTACGACATTTCAGATATCTGTGTGCACATTTACAAGTATTTTCTGTTTCTCCACAGTAACAATCATATTCTGCCGCAGTTGCCACGGTAAGTAAATGTTTTATTCCCTAATCATCAGCACAAGATGTAAGGCCTATTCTGTTCATAGGTTTTGCTCTACACTCTGCTGGCATTAACTCGCAGTTATATAATTCTGAACCAAGTTATATTTAACAACAATAGTCGTCTCAGATGTGGTTCCAAAGGATAGATTTTAAAAATCGAATTAAAGGGGGTCCATGGTCTAATGCGGAGATATTTTATTTGGCAGGGGGTGAGCTGGGGGTGGAGGTGAAGAATCTTTGATATGAAAAGGCTTGAGAACCCCTACACACAGTGTGCTCATTGTAGAAGCACTCCTTGAGTTCTGATTTGTAACATAAAAGCTGGTGTCTCTGTTTTCTCTGCGTTATAAAGTGAGTGTTTACACCTGAGTGTCACAGCGCAGCAGACATGTTGGCCACTGTCTGTTTCAGTGCCAGCTGCCACCTGCAGCACCAGCCTCTCAGCTTCCTTTGCCCAGCCACACTACTGTTTATGTCTGGGCTGCAGCCCTCAGTAGTGTCCAGCAGCAGCAAAACATGTTTTTCTCTCTAGTCTCCGAAAACTGGGCAGACGACGTCCCCACAGACAGACTGCAGATTATTATCTAAGTCAACCTGAAGATGTTATTATTTCTGAGGGTAAGGTGGAGCAGACTTTAGGGATGGGCGGGATTTCTACCACACTGTGCGCAAACTAGAATTTAAAAAGGGTAATTTTCTTGTGACATAAAGATCAATTCTCACATTAAAGGTGTTTTTTCTATTAATCCAAAATTCACTACGTTAATGCTGACTGTTATTCACAATACTATATAAGGCGGAAGGAATTTTTCTTCTAATAAATTCTTCCTCTGTGGTACATTTTAAAGATGAACCTTAGAGATTTAAGAGCATTGAATTTATAACCACTGTCTGGAAATCAACAACAACTAACGTAAGGCAGGATTTACACAAGTCAAATATCTGTGTGTGCACAGTTAGGTTCAGGTACATTACCACCAGCTGTAGAAACAAGTTGATTGTTCTCCCTTAAGAAAAACTTGGGATTTAGATAAGATTAAAGACAAAGTCCATTTCATGTTTAGTTGCTCATCATATCATGATTTAAGGGCAACACCTTTTAGTAATCTCATGAGTTCTTCTGGTTGGACAATTATAAAAAATACTTGTCAATGTGGACTGGCACTTAAATTACATGTGCACAACATTATAAATTACTATATAAATAAACAACATAACAAGGGGAGAGACAGTTTTCCAAAAGTTGATGTAACTAGAATGTAGTTATGACAATAAAAAACAAATTAATGTTCACTATGACACCACATTTTAACTGTACAGAAATGAAGTGAAATCAAAATCTGCACATCAGTTACAAATTAAAGGAATAATTTGACATTTGGGGAAATAGTTTTATTGCTGAGTTTAGATTAAAATATAAACACCACTCTGTTCAACTTTTAATGAGCTGTGTAATGTTATCAAGATGGACGACTGTACAAAGACTTGTTTTGTTGTCTCGATAAGTGTGTGCCTAAAATAACTCTGAATGTGTCCTTAAAGCACCCATGAGATGATATATTTCCTTATGACCAAGATGTAGATGAGAAGATACCACTCTTGTGTCTGTGCAGTAAATATGAAGCTACAACAAACAACCAGTTAAACTATTGGGAGCAGTTGCCAAGCAAGGTGCTGGTAGGTAAAGTTTTGCTACTTTTAAACACAGGCAGGGTAGAGTCTTCAGTTTTAGGCTACATCCATGCTACTACGTTTTTGTTTTGTCTTTAATTTTCCAGCTCTATATGATATGTTTTGGCAAATAGTCATATGTAATGTAGACTGCCCATAATCCTTAGTTAAAGGGGTAAACATGCCAAACAAGTGGCAAGGCCCTGTAAAGAAGCACATGTTTAGAAATCTAGCAGCTGCAGGGTTATACATCTGCACTGAGAACAGATGGAGAGGGGAGGGGAGGAGATGGTGTGGGGTGTGGGACAGCAAACAAGAGGGCTGAGGGGTGACTAGTTAAGGCCCAACTCCCCGCCCTGACCTCTCCTCCTCCTCCCTTTATTCCTTCTGTCTTGCCTGCTCCCATGTCACCCCTGGGCTCCCTGATGGAGGCTGACAGTAACGGCTGTCCTCTGTCCCCCAACCCATCACCCCCACCCATCCACAACCCATCCTCCTCCACCCCCCTTCTTCCTCTATCCTTCACTCTGCCCCCTGTGCTCTTGCCCGTTCAGCTCTGACCACGGTGACCTCGCTTTGGAAGTTGCCGTCCTGCGGTTCGGCTAGCAGCTTATTGAGGGGCAAAATGTCTGAGCCTGGCTGTCAAAAGCACATCTGGGACGTGATCTGCCACCCATCCATGACTATTACTCTCTGGTGGACAGTTGTGTTTCTCAACGCTACAGGCAAATCACTGCATGTCTCAGAAAAAAAGCCAAAATGGAGTTTCACTGAATATATCAATACTTTATCTCATGACTTAACTGAAATGAAACTGTAAGGATTTTTTTTTTCTGAGTCAGTTTGACACCTGTGGTAATTAAACGGTTACACAACATATCACACGCAAATTAATCACTACATGTCAATCACTGTTTATTTAAAGGGGTGTGGTATCATCTCCGAAACACGCACACACTCCTTTCCACTTCCTGTTGTGCAATTTCATAAACTACCGACGTGAGGGCTGAACTTGTTGAGCTGGATGGAAGATGGCAGGTTATCAGCGCAGAAGCCGATGTGGAAATACAACTGGGCCAAACGTAGACACAGAAGCACACACATACACACACACACACGCTGACATGGGTCAGTAATGATGAAGTAAACTTTATAAAATAGCAGATGAGGGAGGAGAAAGTGGAGGATGTCATCTTTCAGGGGGGACATGTATTATTCATGCTGTCAGCTGAGGCATTGGTGAAGTCACAGGAGTGTAAGTAATAGCGTGTGTCACATAAATCAACAGCGATGATGACCTAATTTTACTGCATAACTCCCTCTGCCCACACACTCTTTAAGGAGCTCCAGATGCTTACACACACACACAAACACACACACATATACACACACCTTACAAACATGTGTGCACTTAAGTTTTGTCTTCTGCTTTTCTCTGTGTATAATCAGAATAAACAAGTAAAATAATTATACAGGTATTCTATGTGAATAGCAGGGGAGGCCCTCTACACCTTCTAACCCTAGAATTACACCAGAGCAATCTTTGCCTCTGTCTGTCCTGCAAACGCTCAAACACAAACACATTTCCACACTCAATGATGGAAGATGTAGGCCTACTCTGATTCTTTACAAAAGTAAAAGTACCAATACAACAATGTAAAAATACTTGTCTTGCATTCATAATCTTACTTATTTGGTTTCCTGCCAAGACTTAGATGAAAGGACTGATACCACTCTTGTGACTATACCGTTTTTGTCAAGGGAGTCTGGTGGCTTTGACCATAGACCATAGCAACTGTTTCTGGTTGAACAAAAAGGTCTCTCTCTGAAAGGGATCCTTTACACAACATTGTTTGACACTTGTAATAACAATCTGAGCATGTTAGCGACAAAAACAAGCACTTTAGTGGACGTATTTTGACAGGGTGCAATTGCCCGCAAGAATCATGTTGCAGCCAATACTGGACCAATTTCAAAAATTCTCGCCCCAGTCAGACCCAAAAACATGGAAAAATAATGTCCAGGTTGAAAAATACCGTAGTTACCTTTTAATATGTTGTTCCAGACTATTCACTCTTGGCTGGTGATTACAAGACAAGCGAAGAAACACCCCCATAAAACCACAACTTTGAAAAGTAAAATGTTTATACTAAACAAACAAGATATAGTGTGTTGATTAGTGAACTTAAGAGGTGTTGGTACAATAGGTGGATTTGACATTATTTCCCCAAACTATTGCTAAGTATCGATGCACTGAAATATTATCATTACTTACTTTAAGTATTAAAAGTAAAATGAGAAAAAGTATCTCCAAGAATAATATGTTATCAGATATTACAATATTATATTGTTAATATGAATGCATTGATGCGTAATTAGCATTGTACTGTGGTAGCTGGGGGAGAAGTGGTTAGTTTTAAATACTTTGTTAGATAGTTAGGTAGTTTAATCCAGTGTTTCCCAAGAGGGACAAACCCCCCTATAAATCATGAGATGATTCACGGGGTAGGAGAGAAGACAAAATGTTCTTCTACACAAATTTGTATTCATTTTTTTTAGACTCAGACTTTTAGACTAACCTGAAAAGTGACAAAGGGCCCCGACAACACATTGCATTTTTAATAATAGGGTCACAAGCCTACAATTAAAATACATAGTATTTTATTGGCTTAATCTAAATATAGCGTTATAAAAAGTGCAATGTTTCCTTCTGAAATGTAGTATGGAGTAGAAGTACAGAGCAACACAGAATGGAAAGTAAAGTACCTTAAAATACCCGAGTACAGTGCTTGGTTAAGTGTACTTAACCAGTGTACTGCACACAGTCACATGCACACACTGCACGCTTGTTGTCTGACAGCTCATGCAGGTGTTGTACCTGGCAGCAAAGCAAACGCCCGTCCGACTACCACCACACCTGGCTGGAACCGCAGACAACCACATGGCAATAAACTCTCTTTCACACACACACACACACACACACACACACACACACACACACACACACGCACCCACACAGAGACATGAGTGTACATGGCAACAAACACCCACACACTCACTCCCTCATAGCCACTGATCAGAAGATAACTGCGGTACAAGTCATTCCCATTGTCAAAAGACAGACACAACAGACAGACAGACAGGGAGGCAGTAAGACAGACAGACACTCTCACCAGGCAAATATGACATTTACAGTAGTATATAACCTCTCTTAAATTGTTAGCTTCTTTTTCCCATGGCCTCACATCCACACACAAACAAAACAAATCATATAACAGACTACAGACGTGTCTGGTCTGTCCTTTGGTGGAGGTCTTAAAATACACCCAGCAGCCATTAAACACGTTTCCTTTTCCGCTGCACAAAGCAATATGTCTTGTGATCACAAATATATCTTCACAGATTTTTTTTTCAATGTTTCCAATTCTCTCTATGTTTCCTAGAGACAGTGGGACAGGTTGTCGCTCGAATCCTCGCCTCAGGCCAACCTGAATCCAGGATGGGATGTCAATAATTTCTCAAGCCTTTATTTTCCGCTTCTGTTCGAGGCAGTTCTTGTCTTGTCTTGCTGCCTGTTGTTTTGCAGCTCAGGAGCCTTGAGAGGTGATCTCATCTGCACCTCGCTCTTCAACCCCCGCTCCCAAAACAACATTGTATTTATCTGACCAAAATAACCACCTCAGGCTGGAAAAACCCTAGTCAAGAGAAACAGAAATAGGCCAAGAGTTTCCAAGAAAGCCAGTCTGGGCCGGAGGTGATGCTTTTGACTGACAACAGCCACAGGTCAACAGAACAAGACTCTGCATTTACTGCTCTAAGGTGACTGTTAGAAGCTGTTATAATAAAAGGTCTTACTATTCTTGAGCTACTGAAGAACAGTACTACAGGGGGGTGGACACAATAACTACAACACCTTTACAGTGCAATTCGAGTGAGAAAAACAGAACAGTTTGAGCTTTAGAAAAGTAGTATTTGATGGACACTAAATATACAGATGTTTATTTTTTATGTGCATGCCCAGTAATGTGATTCTTATTGACAATGTTAGATGATTTGTAACACTGACTAAAGGCTGGTTGCCCAAACTATATTATTATTATCAGTATTTCTAGTATTATGTTAAGAATTGCAGAGGAAAGAGGTCCAGTCGAGTACTTTATATTCATTGTTACAACACACATCCTTTAGACAGTTAATTCAATTTACTTTCTAGATGTAGACCCTTGAAAAGCTATGACAGTTTGCAACATGGTTTGATTTGAGTGAAAGTTAAGTTGAGTAATTTATTCATTATAAGGCTGTAGTTGGATTATTGTTCTGTCATTGAAATCATTCAACAACATTTTGATGGCCCACTGACTTGTGATAGGGAGAGTAGCGTCTCTGGCATTGCACATTACATTATACATGTAATGTGTAACATTACTCTGTCATTGTCATTGCAATACACATCGTACATTTAATGAAACTGTTCACATCAAACGTTTTCTCATTGTCAAAGTGCCCTGATTATTTTGAAAAAGGCAAATTCAGGAAATGTCGCCATATTTGTGGCTAAATGGTTTTTGACCTGGGACTGAAAGGCTTAACAAGAAAAAGGGGAGACATGTCAAATTTATAATTGATTGCTCTGTGGTTTCAAACCTGTGCTTCACTTGCTGGAGGGAATAGTCTGACAAGCATTGTTGTTATCACTGTGAGGGTGCCAGGCAACCAACAAAACTTCAGGAAGCCACTGCTCCAGGCCAAGAAACATTCAGAAACAACAACACCCCTTATAAAAACTACTTGTTGTTTTCACACTAAACAATCAGATTAGCTTCACAGGTGTTGGTTAGGTGGATTTTGTTACTTTTGGACAGAGCCATACTAGCCCCCGGTTTCCAGTCTTTTTGCTAAGCTAAGATGGCTGTATCTTATTATTTAATGAGAGTGATATTGACTTAGAAAGCAAAATGTCCAACGAGAATGTCCTTGTATTTTTAACTTTAATTCATCAGTTATCTGATCAGCTACAATATTTGCTTTCTATTAGTGTGGATTTTTAAGTTTGTTTTGGACTCAGTAGACTCACAGAAGCCACACTTTCCGTTCAAATGGCTTTGCTAACTCTCTCCAGACACCAGTGAGATCATTTGGCTATCTGCCCTCAAGTATAGACTTGACACACACACACATGAAAAGCAGACACACCACAACATTCACACAGACAGACAAACATTGACCCTCCTCTACTCTGCCTAAGGAGGAGGGGTGGGAGAAAGAAAACCTGAAGAATTAAAAACACATTCCACTTCCCGTAAAGCCAGGAGAAGGAGCAGTGAGTCACTGGGGCAGTTTGGGAAACGGGCCCTTTTAGTTTCAGACTTTCAACGTCTACATGTGGAGCTTAACCTTAATGGGTCCTCCTCAGGTGAACGTTGTTGATGGTGCTGCTCTCTTTCATCCCATCCGCTCCTGTTAGTTCAGTTGCTACTAAAAACACTCATTGACCGACCGTGGCACACGATGGCTTATCTGAAAGTGAACATCTACTCACTTCAACCGCAGGTCATATAGGTAGTCTATGTTCTGGATAAGATGATTTATGATTTCAATAAGCTTTTTTCATTTGTTAATACCATTTGCCAAGTATATATTTTTTATTGTTCTTTAATGGTCAGAACATTTAACAGACACATACAACCACAAAATGACACACATAATCACACATAATGTATGCTCCCATCAAGAAAGCCACACATTGAATCACAGCAGAGTGTTTGTAATAGACCTCCATCACGTTTTATTCCCCCCACAATGATGCCAGGAAAAGATTTTACTGTAAAGTTTAAATTGCAGAACACGATCATTGTGGGACTAAACCCTCCTTCTCTC